AAAAAAAAGAAATTACGAAATGTACACTGATGCTTACAATGTTACAAATACAACAGCGAATTATTATATACATCTGAAAACATGCAACATCAATTATTGAAATGTATTAACAAATGAATGAAGGTTTACAATTCATTTAGTTTCAATAATAGCAATACTACATTTATAAGATTATCAGAAATTTGGAAGAAAAAAAGTTTGAATACAATGAAATGAACACCCTATGAACTTTATATATAGTGCATTGGATACTAGTAAACTGTGTGTTGTAGAATTTGTTGATTCAAAGAAAACAAAAAAACAAAAGAAGAACTAATCAAACAGATGACATATTACATTTTGGCCTATCTGATAACAAGCAGTCATAATTAAAACATAACCAAGGGGAATATTTTTAATGATTCAAATAAAAAAAAATTACACCACAAAGATCAGGTGAATGATAAGACCTCATTAACAAATGTATAAATAAAATATAGTTTATTACAATTAAAAATTTTGTTTATCAAAGAACAAGTTCTATACTGTAAAAAAAGTGCATACTTAAAGAGATTGGGGGGTAGGGGGAGAGAAAAATAACAAATGCTCATAGGGTCCATCACAACCCTAAGTTCCATCACTAATTATGTGTCACATATGCACAATGAACTAATCAACAGAGTTCACACACTTCTTGAAATTCTCTGCATTAACAGGTGTAAAATCTTCCCTGATGTAATTATTTCCATTTTGTCACACTTCACAAACATTTAAGTATTAACCTATTCAAGAAAGCAATATTCATATATATTGAAATGCATCTACAAATGGATGAAATTCAATGCCATAATAGGCTAAAAGCAAAATAAAAAGATTGATAATTGCAAAACTCTTGAGCCTCCAAAATTTTATTTCAGGAACTGTTTGAAGAACCAAACTTCATACTCCATCATGAAATTAATTAATTAATTTTCAGAAATACAAATATATGTAATCAATGTTTTCCTATGCTCATATGCAGTCACAAAAAGCTTCATAATTTTCAATTTTAAACATGTTTTCCTGAAATAAACTTGGCTCCTACAATAGAAAATCAGCAATTTAATGAAGGAAAGAAGTTGATTAAACTCAAATTTTATGTCAACAAATGAAAACACATAAGACATGAAATGCACCACATAGAAACCTTCATAATTTAATCAATTACCTGTTTTTTTTCAATGATTCTATTGAGCATCAACACTGCTTTGCAATTCTGCTCCCATACCATCAACCAGAAATGACCAGTTGTGTGTGACAAAGGACCTTGTGTAAGGATATAGCGACGATTTGCTTTGCCAATCTGCAAGTATAGTAAACAATTCTTTTAAGGAACTATATTAATGCAACAGACATGGAATTGTGATATTCAATTACCTACCGTAACTAGACTAGCATTTATGTAATCGCACGGCCCTTTCGACAGAACGATCCGGCTATGATCATACGGACTCACATCACGGTATCTGTTCAGGTTCTTATTGTGTGTTTTTCGTGCTTCCTGTACTGTATACTCATAATTTAAACATTCACTCCGTATGTGCTGAAATAAATCAAAAGCGAATTCATCGCCAGCAATGAACTTTCCTGTATTGAACCAACACTATGTAATCCAAACAATAAACTGTTGTTGTTTGTTTTTTTGACAACAATACCTGATAAAGAATCGGCCATGCGCCCTTAGAGTCAATTTCAAGAAATTCAGTTTCTACGTTGTACCTAATGTTGTTGGAAGTCATGATAGAAACCCAACCTTAACACAACGTTACGAATACATCCAACACATACATACTTACGCGCGGACGTACCTACATTTATACATCCATATACACACACATACATACATTCATACATACGTACTTAGATAAAACACATACAGAGTTGGTAATCGCTTACTACCACTAAATACATGTAAAACACACACGTCAGGCTCAAAATCACACCAACACCAGGCGGATGCCATCAAACCCGATGTTGCTTTTGGAAACGAGATTGCTGCGCTCCTAGTGCCTGTCAAGGCAGTTTGTAAGAGACGCGTTCAATTCGAATCACTCCTCAGATATCAGATTGATTTAAAATAAGAAATGGGGTTCTTTACCAAACTGTAGAATGCACAGACATGTGTATGAGTTGAAAAGTAAGCGAGTTAACACTAGAATGCCCAGTTAGAATGCCCCCGCTCCTAGCAGTACTTGTGACTTCTTTTTTCTGTAGAGAGGTGTTTGTGATTTTTTGACATTTCATTCTTTTTTCTTATTTAGAATGTGTTCAAAATTGAAGCACATAAAATACTGATTTCGTGAAGGTTAATTACATTTATCTCACACTCACGAGAGTCATTTCGCCTCCTCGGTACTCATCCAATTCTGTAGCTTGTTTCATATATTTCAATGCTGAACAGAGGTGTGCGCAGCCAAAACAAGGGGGGAATGTAACTACATTGCTGCCCCCTATATCTATTTAATTTTTCTATTATTTAAAACATTTTATTTGTACAAACATTTTGTCAATTTTTGAAGTGTTCAAATGTATTTTTGGGCGATCATCTCGCACTTCGCAGAATGTTTTGGAGCGGTTTGAAATATTTTGGACATTTTTAACTATTTGCCCATTTGTGTGTGTGTGTGTGTGTGTGTGATTTTTCAGGGGGTTTTGTAAGGACACTTAGTCTAAATTAGCCACCTGTCAAAGGTAAAGCCGGACGTGAACAGATTGCACTTTTCCCTATAGTACGTTACCATGATTTTAACTTTTTTCTGTCCTTTTTTACGTTAAACAAATAATAAAAGTTCGCTTTCTCGCCACGCATTCTTCCGTAGGTACACTATGTTCAGTGTCCAATGTTTTTGTACTTTTTGAAAACTGGAGAATTTTCACAAATTTCATTCCATGTTTTTTATGTAGTACATTTAAAACAATTTCATTAAGTTTATAAAATTGCATGATGCCAAAACGCACTTAATGAGAGATATTGGTTATATTTCGGGGACCTGAAATTAGTGAACTCGCAAATTACTAATGTCCAGAAACAATTTCTAATAACACCGTAGATTAAAAGTAAAATTTAATAACAAAAATTGAAAGTACCTCAAAATGTTCAATTATTTAGCAATTGTTGGCATGTATATATATATATATATATATATATATATATATATATATATATATATGCAATTTTTGCAAAAATTAGTCATAAATAAACAAATTAATGTTAATGTTGTTTTTTTAAAAATAGCTAGTTAACACATTAATGACTCCACAAGTGCTGACTTTCGCAACTAAATAAAACATCAATTTCCCCAAAAATTTTATATCCCTAGGATATACAGCAAAGATAATACATACTAATATAGTATCAATATACGAATTAACTACCATCCGTTTGTCATCATTGTACATTTTAAAATGTGCGTACGCATTCTGTGCTTTACTTTCATCAGAGAATTTACATATTTACGAAAACAAAATGTAATATTGCTTCAGGGCCCTTTTCAAAGTACTCAGGCTGTATCTCTCTGTATGCACGTCTACGACGCTGAATCTTTTCAAATGTGTTTTCCAATATTTCGAATACCTTCTGATTACAGTGGCAAAGCGTGGGATTTTTGCGTTGTCATCGCTACATTTGTAACCATACATTTGTTGCGTGCATTTGTAGTGTTCGGAGCTATGTTTCTGTTGCGACGGGGAGTTAAGGGGTTTCGCAATATCGTAGGCGTTTTCTTTTGTAAAAAATAGCTCATTTTTTCTGTTTTCTTTTTTCAATAACGTAAACGTTTCCTAGTCTCCCTTAAGTTAACGTTAAATGAAATAATTATTTTCAAATTCGTATGGCATACGGTAATCATTCATTATGATTATGGCCTGTTTTGCAAGAAAGCGTGTCCCTTTCAAGTACAAAAAATCAAAATGGGTCTAGTCAACCGGGGGATTCGTGCACTCCAACTTCAGCCAATAAGCGACTTCAGCCAGAGACCAGTGTGCGTCATAATATTAGCGGGAATTTTAAATGCATCCAGATACCAAAAAAATCACGTTACAAGACAAACAGATTTACGAAGCATGGATCGGGCAACGTTTCATCAGTTAGAACGAAATGGCCGAGAGGGGTATTTGTGATGAAGGGATAGATGAAAAAGAAGTTGTGGAGATCGAAGACGGCCTGGAAATGTGTAACGATATTATTTCTTTGTTGTCAAAACGCGTAACGAAATTATGTTGCTGATAAATATTCAATAGTGGCAAAAATTAAAAGTCTGAAAAAGTTATAAGCTAAAGCTATCAACTAAAACAACTTTTCTTTAGCATAGAAACGACTTTTTTTAACCAGTAAAGACGTAAAAGTCAGAGAGACAGTTCAAGATATTATTAAACCGATGAAGACCAGAATTGTTTCACTGGTTATTTCGAAAGAATCGTATGCGGATGCGGATCAGTACTACCGAAAGTTGATAATGTCTTAAAAACAAAAGGAGAGGTAGAGAAGAAACGTCGCAAAATCAACTCCTAATGAAGATGAAAAAAAGACCAACTGCAACGTATCATGTAGGTATGTTAAAAGAAGTAAGCAGACCCAATATAAGCTAAGAATAAATAGATTAATTTATAATGCAAAAAGTAACATTTTAATGGTAGAGGCAGCAACTAAAGATATAACAGTAGGTGTCAGAGAGATATTGGTTAAATCTTCACTCGGACAAAAACTATGACAGAAGTTAATGTCAAAAATAACTGTTGCATACCTAGCTATATGGATGACTCTGTGATGATGAACCATATACAAAAGTACAACTCTGAAGTTACCCTTCTTGAAGAAGAGTAAAGTTTTACTTAAAATGGGAAGTGATAATGAAAGAAAGCTACATCGGAGCTGAGTTCGTAGCGTATTCACCTGGATTTAGCTGTATTGCAACACAATGGAGAGAATCTATGTCCATATCCATGCTTTGCATATGTGGCGGTGATGCATTGTCTTAACTGTCTAAAGTTTGGGCTGTGCTCATTGTGCTGACGAACACGAAGGGGAATACGTAGCCGATGCGCCCATGAAGGGTGTTAATTGTGTTAGAGCTAATAGGAAGGATATGGAACATAAAACGTATAGTAAGAAGGGACCAGAACTAAAATATGCTACTGAACTGGAAATTGGAAGAACTTGTTATGGCCTATAGAATCATGCAAATAAATGCTTGAAGAGCCATTGCCGATATTGAAGTTATCTGCAGTTCCAAAGACGCTCTGGATATTATTTTAGTTCACGAACATTATACAGTGAATGGAAGGGTTACTGGCATGCAGAGCGACTAGAAGCGGGGGCAGCAGCGGCAACTTGCCCCAGACCCGACTTAATTGGGCCCCAGATTTTTTTATTAAAATAAGATAAAGAATGTATTCATTTCTTATCCAAATTGAACGCTATTAGTTATTTCTGATGCACGGAGAAATTAATTCTGTTTATGAATTGGGAGAGGGGGGAATGTTGTTGAAATGAGGGGCCCTTGTCGATCAACTGCTCCAGACCACCTGGTTTTCTCTGGGTGCCCCTGCTGGCATGCACCATGTTATAAGGAGAGAAACACTGTAGCAATGATTATAAATAATCCGACCTTTCGTGTCTCGGAATTAATTGAATGTATGTTATCAGACATGTAGTACCGTGTGAAGTGCAGCAATACACAAGAATAAACTAAGAAGCCAAGGGACACAAAAATGAAATTGTGGAAAAACTATGTGATCCGCTCTACTGAAAGGGATCCTTGGGATAGTCCCAAGAAGCGGCCGAGAAAATCAAAATATCTGATGTACTGACGTCTGTGTCGGCAGGGGCAGCCTGCACCTCCTCCTGGCATGAGACACGGAAGACGGAATTGCCCCTCTTGATTGCGAAACTGGTAGGAAAGCATTTATTTATTTATTTACGTCAAAAAACAGTTAAAACTGTGTGTGACGTGCTATGGGGAGAAGTTAATTTGAAGTTACATGTTATGTCCAGAAGCCAAACAAGGGACCATGTCAGCATTTGCTCGAGGATCAGGGAAGCTAGCGAAAACCTGATCGAGATGGGGGTCATTGACCCAGAAGCTGAAGTATAATACTTGTTACAGGTTCTTTACAATTATTCATGTTACAATTATACAAATGATATAAAATACATTAAATGTCATTGTTAAAATTAATATTACTTTCCTTTTGGATGCTCGGTATGTCTCTAATTCTATGGAAACAGTTGTGCAGCAGAAAATATTTTACTTGGAACTTAAACATTTGTATCGAATTTAATCGTTTAATGTCATCTGGCAAGGTGTTGTAAAATAATGTACATGTAATATATGTTGATTTTTTGTGGTGAGCTATTGATACTGTATTTAAATCCAATAAGTAGTTTTACTTTTTCAATTCTTTCTTTAAATTCTGTCACTTACTCTGTTCAACGTTAAACGTTTTGACACCGCTCCTTTTTATCCAACTTCACGAAAAAAGGGCTTGGATCTTATCCGCAGTGAACACAGTATTAGCATTCATGACAATGCACTTATGAAAGGAGATGCGTGTAAATCGTATGACAACTTTTCAAACTATAAACGGTTAAAACATAGCGGCGGCGGCGGTCATGACGGATGCGACGGAGATGGGCTAGGTATGACAGAAGTACTAAGCGGTGGCACCGCCTTGCGGGAGAATTGCGGCTTGATACCGTGTGTGACAAACTACAGAAGTGCAGATCACATGCATTTCCACACGTCTCTCTTCAAATCATGTTTTGTGAATAGTAGAGTGAACAATACTCGACGTAGTTTTAGTAGCTTTACACACAACTAGCGCAATTACACCCCAGTCCGCAAAATAAGGTTGGGTATAAAATAGAAAAAGTTAGATCTATAGACAATTTCCCATTCGAAAATCCACGCTCATGAATTCACCCCCCTCCACTTTCGATCCTCGAATAGGATATGCGAAGTGGATGTGCAGAAGTGGGGATATGCTATGTGCGGAGCTCTTTGCAAAGTGCGGAGCACTTAGGGTA